TTATACCATTTACAAAAAACGCCAGGAGAAGCTCGATCGCCCGGTACTTTATCTGAAGAGTAAATTTTTCATAGCAATAAACATTAGGATAAATATTTCGTACCTCGTATGGGGATTGAATCCGCGATCTCCGACTTAATGAGTAATACGAGCTATAACTTTTATTGCGCTACGGGAAAAATCCTCAAAAAAATTTTACTCAGGAAGCTTTCTCTGGTCATCTTGAAAACTTACTGAGGCACAATTTATTTAAAATTTTTAACAAAAATATTTATATTTACGTACGTAAAATATTGGCATGACGTATTCGTCATATCCATTAAATTATTTTATGCGAAACCCGTGTAAAATAATTCCGTGGAGATTGTAAAATTTCATTTACATTGTGTTACTATGAATATTTTTAGACAATTTAAACACAATATAGGCGATAAACGCAAATTTATGTTTACTCAAATTTGACTACTACTTTCATTTGTACGCACGTCTACAAGTTTCCTTATATCTTTCAACACTTACAAAACGATAAATCCAGATCTTGAATTATCTACTGACAACTGACAAATTAAAGATGGCAGCGCTAACTTCATTCAAATTTTATGCGATTTAATTATTTTTGTATTGGATATACAATTTATATAATACTAGTGACTTAACTTCGCATTGCTCGGGTTTGCTCCTAAGTGCCTAATAGAGGCTTATGTGTTACGTAAGGTCATAGTATACATGTATACTAAATTTAATCCAAATCGGTCCAGCCGTTTTAGCGTGGAGAAATAGCAAACATACAGACACACATACAAAATAGTATTCGATAACATTGGTTGGTTCAAAGTGCATTGAAATTTTTTACTAACGAATTGTCCTGAAATCGCCAAAATATTAATAATTCAATTTTATTTTAATCATGACGTTGACGGCTGAACTATCATAATTTTTCGTAATTATTGGTATACACGAACAAAAATATAATATTTATCAACAAACAAAAAACATTTACAATTGTTTGTTATATTTATTTCTACTACTGGTAACTCAGTAAATTAAGATCCGACTCTATATTAAGTTATAAAAATGCAAAGGAGTTTCGCTCTTTATATATCAACTAGTTGGCACTAGTTGGGTCGTCAGCCGTCCTAAATGGCAACCGGCTTATTCGCACAGATAGCGGTTCGTTTCCATTGCACACAACCGATTCGCTAATATTAACAATATTTTAACGTCTCTTGAAAAAAATTTAATATTTTATAATCTGTTTTTAGATATTTAGATATATGTATAACATAAATTTGACCTTAGTTGTTATAGTTCTGATGTAACGATTGAATAATATGTGGATCAATGTTGTGGTGAAGTGATTCAGACTGCTTTTGCTGTCAGAAATCGTGGAGTGTGGTAGATTTATATTTTATATTGATCATACAAATTGTTAATACTCACCTCGATCTGGAAAAAATAAATCGCGATGCTGGAAACCCCCGTATTGACCGCTTTGTCACAATCCAGGTAAGATGATACCGGTGAGATAATATAATTAAACTTAAATTATTATATAAAAAATACTATTATACTAAACTAAAATCTTGCTATAAAAACAAAATTAACATATTGAACTAGTTTCAGTGGATTTAAAATAGTAATTTTTATATCTATACTTCTATACTAGTATTATAAAGAGGTAAAGTTTGTGAGATTGTGACCTTGTGACGTTGTAGGGGGGTAATCTCTGGATCTACCGAACCTATTTACATGAAATTTGGCAAGAAGATAGTTTGAAACCCTGGGAAGGACATAGGATGCTTTTTATCCCGGAAATCGTCCCTTAAGGGGGTGAAAAATAGGATGACAGTTTATATCGGGAATCAAGCTAGGGACACGAACTAGAGCAAAGTGAGGGTGAGTTGCTAGTATATTATAAATTATAACGAAATCGTGATAAACCTTACGCTATGCTCATAAGCGATACAGTATTGCAAACGTAAGAAACAACATTTTTAAATATTTTAGTGTCTATATACTGTACTGAACATATACTGTAGTACTTAAATGTTTTCCTAATTGATATATTCCAAAATTTCCTTCATTTTTAAATTAAAAAAAAAACTAACGATGATATCCTTTTCCTTAACGAAATCGAATAACTTTAAAATCACTCAAAAACGATTTCCCAAAACCTTACGCAATGATTCTAAGATTTGCAGATTCTAATTAGAATCGCAATATTGACACTTTCTAATCGTGTACCAATGGAGCCGGCGCCCCCAGTGGCGTACGTGCGCCGGCGCACGTCTCGGGTTGTTCCCGGTTAGCGATTTAAGGCTCTTATCATTGCAATTAATATTTTATTGCCACGTTTATAGTCTATCTAGTGTAGTGCATCTGATTTAGTGTGTATAATTTAGTTATGTTCGTGTGATGATTGCTGCATGGATATTTTGCCATATTATTGCTTTACTTTACGTATAATATTTAAAGTTTTTAGAGTAGATGGAGTTGAAACGGTTTCAACGCAATATAAGTAAATGTATACATATTTAATGTAAAGGTGAAGCTCAGATCAGTTAAATGAACATTACTTGTTTTAATACAGCATATCTCAACACCTGCAAGGAGATACGTTCGTAACCCACTGCTTTTGAGTTCAATACAAAAATAAACTTTTATTGTATTACCTTTTTGTCTAACTGACTCTAGCTAAAATATTATTATTCAGTATCTGTTAAATAAAATAAGAATTGTAAGACATTCGAATTTCTAAGTGATAAAATACATTTAGTATTATTATTACAAAGATTTTTAGTTTTTAAATCAAATTTTCTAAGTTAGATAGTGTTAAGATATAATGAGTATTTTTTTTATCTGTGCTGTCGAGCTGTAGAGCTATGAAAAATGAGTTTCGATATTTTTCTTTGCAGATGTCGTTGTTGAGCTTAATCATTAGGTATCTAATTTCATTAGGTTTCAATAAAATTGTTACTTGATCCATTTTTAAAATTAATATTGTTCAAATTAAATTTTTAAATGAAATATATAATAATAATAAAAAAATGAATTATAAGAAAACTAACAGAACCCGCGGCTTTGCTTGCGCTAAAACTACAAAAAAATCTCTTTGACAATATGCTATTAGTAATAATGTATGGAAATCTGCCCGATTTGTTGACATTTATGATTACTGCTTCGCTCCCTTAGGTAGTAGCATGATTATATATAACCTTCCTCAATAAATGGGCTATCTAATGCAAAAAGAATTTTTCAAATCGAATTAGTAGTTCCTGAGATTAGCGCGTTCAAACAAACAAACAAACAAACAAACAAACAAACAAACAAACAAACAAACAAACAAACTCTGCCTCTTTATAATATAAGTATAGATTTGGGAAAATCATTATGATTAAATCCGAAATTATTAGAGTAATACTTAAATAAATACTTTTAAATAAATGTTTCTTAATGACGTAACCTATAAAAATACCTTTACCTACTCTTAGAGGTACACCCTTAATTAAAATACACAAATGAGAGAGAGAGAGAAATAAAATCCTTTCTTTCAAGTTTTTTTCAAATATTTTAATTGTTTTAATTTAATCTTAGCCTTAAATAAATACTAGGTCAAAACTCAGGCCTCAAAATGAACGTATTTTACGTTATTAGTTAAGAGGACATTAGAATTACTAGTAGATTTTATTCTTCACCTCCAGGTAAATTTCTAAGAAATTATTTAAATTTCTAAGAAATCTATTGTTAACTGCAACGCCGGCGTGTCCGCGGTCGTGGAGGGATTAAAAAATATATAATCAAATTAGAAACTATAAGTTTCCTTTTTTTAATATTTGACGTCTAGCCAATAATGGCTACAAAACGCAATAAGAATTATTGACATCAAACTGGCAGTTCCAGAAAATAAGGCGATCAAAAAAAAAATCTTCAACTTTACATAATTAGATATACATACTTCTTTTATATAAATTGTCTGGCTGAAATTAAACTTACTCGCATTTGATCATATGCATGCTACTCAAGCTGTTTAGGGTTTTATTAAAAAATATCTCCTATATCTTCTTAACTCCGGAGTGACTGGACATTACAAAAATCACTGGCAGAGCCTTAAATGTAAAAATAAACCTTTTAATTATTACATTTCGTGGCCACACAGAACGGATTTGTAGAAATAAAAGAGATCACATGGCAACCGCATCATAATGATAGGTATATAATACGTTCACTTTAATATCATCACACTGAATGGAAAAGTAAAGAATCATTTTTTTCCTGTTATTTATTTATTTATAGAAAAATGTTCTGAATTAAACAAAGGTTACTTTTTACCAGCGAACTTCAATGTTATAATAGTATGTTAATGGGACATAAATTTTTACTTTTCTAAACCAAAAAAAATATTATCTACTATAATATTATTCATTACTTTTTATTTTATTCTACATCTTCAATTGTGTGAATTCATACATGGGATATCTTTTATACTTGTCATGCCTTTTTGTAATATAATAATTAATAAATACAGCTTAAATGTTATTTTACTTCTAAGCTTCTCAATAAAGGAAACCTATTACGCGGGAAAAGTCACTGAAGAAAGTATCAAATACATTATTACTTTTACACGTACTAATTATAAATAGAAAATCTAAAAATAAAACAGACCGGATGATGAGTAGTCGTGTTATGATGTCGTTGTATGGCAATGACCTCGCTCACTCAGTCAGGGGCACGATAATGACGTAGTGATTACGTAGACTTGTTACGTGTACAGATGATAAAAATGAAATATCAAAACTGCAAAAAATATTTAAAATTGCCTAACATTTTTATCTATATTTTTAGCCAACCTCTTTATACATGTATAATGTCAAAATTGTGTATGAATTGTCAAAATTTTAAAGTCTACTTAAATTTAGTGTTACTCTAAATTTAATTGATTTTTATGCTCACAATTTTAAATTTATATTTACATAATTTCGGCTTTTCGTTTGTACCTAAACATGGTTAAGACATTTGAAAAATCATCTCAAGGCGGGCATATCAAAGCGGATGTTATAATACTAGGTTGTAGCCTACCGGGCATTGTTACAGCTCATAAGTTAAAAAAAAAATTTGGAAATACCATGGACATAGTCGTACTCGATCTGGCTGGAAAACGCGATAACGAGTCAAAATGTAATATTGCTTTCCAGGAGGAAAAGGAAGAAGAAATTACTGATAGTAATACATGCGAAGGTACTGCAAAAGAAGTCATTGATAATCTAGCAAGATATTTCCTAACTTTGATAACAAAAGATTTCAATATACCTCTACCAGATGCTATAATAGAACCAATAAAAGTTAGAAACCCTTTTTATAAAGTGTTTGAATACAAAAATGGTAAAGCTGTTGATTGCGAGAAAAATTTTCACAATTTTGATTACTTGAACATACTTGAACGATTTGAACTTAATCAATATCAAACACTTCTAGACCAGAATATGAAGGATTTATTTCAAGCTCACAAAGTGGATGATGCGCCTGAGAGAAATCGACTTCTATATTACGATCAGACAACAATGGAGAAGCATATTTGTGACGCATTACTTTTTCCCAATTCAAGAGATATAATGAGAAATACAGTAAGATTAGTCTGTGGAGCCTCCACTAAAGCCGTGTCGGTATTATTTTACTTACATCAATGTTACAGGACAAGCACTTCAAGAAACCACTTAGATGGTAATAACACGAGATTTCGTGAAAAACTTCTTGGCTATTGCAGGAAGCGCCTAACGACTAAATTACAGAATAGCATCGCGTATATCACTTTATCTTCAAAAGCCATTGAAAAGATCAGTTCAAATTCTGATGAACAAGTCATTTTAAAAACTATTAAAGGTGATACGAATTACGTTTGTAATTTACTTGCAATGGCATTAAAACCTGACGAGCTTCACAACATTGAAGTTGAATCGCATTTACTGTCAGACTCTGAGATCACTGTCATAACCAATATGATAAAAGGAAAAGCGAAAAAATTCCTAGTACAATACGAGGAAAACTTTTGGAGGCGTAAAGGTTATAGTGGTGATATTCTAAGTATTAGAGGACCAATCATTTGGGCAACAGAACGGCCTATTATGTCCTCAACAGGTAGTACGGAAACATACGCCGCATTGGTAGGCTATTTAAGAAATGAAAACGGAGATGATTGCAGAGGAGACGTTTTGAAACAACTTGTACGGTTGTTTGGTAAGGAAGCGGCTGAACCGATAAGTTACAGAGAAAGCGATATATCAGACATATATGTGCCGCGCTGTGGCGATTATATAGCATTGAGAAAGTTGACATTAAAACCAAAGCCAAAATATGTGGAATGGGGTGCGTTAGATATCTTCGCTGATGGCGATATAGCAGCGGCTTTAGAAGCTGGACACACTGCTTACAATCATTTGGTAAGCTCTTTACGCCCTCAGGCTCAAACGTATGAAGATATAAGTGTAGTTGAGTGGCCAACTATTTTCAATGACAATCCTCTCCAAGAGTTGTTATGTCGAATAACCATAACAACAAGTTTGCGTATAATGATGTATAGTGCAGCAGCTTATATCGGTGCTCGACTTATTCAATCCTATATGCATAAGTGATGAGAAATGTGTTCGTTTTGTATTTTGTTTTTTTTTTCATTAGCCATTTATAAAATGTTATTTGATTTTTTTTTGTTAAAAAATATAGTAATATATTTTTGTTAAAAAGTAACTATTATAATCTTTTTCTTTAATATAGAACTAATATTAACTGACTAGCCTGTACTTTTCAGTATTAAAAAATGTTATAGATTCCACAGTTTTAGAGATTCCCAACACACAAACAAATGTTATTTTTTGTATCTTATTATAACAATTTAAATATACATTTCTATATCTATACTAGCGACTTAATCTTGCTTCACTCGGGTGCGTCCCCATGCTCAAATATTTTAAGAACACTTAAAAGGCAATAATTAAAAAAAACACATTTTTGCGCCAGCATCTCTTGCAGGCGTACCTATACAGAATAACGCACCAGAGTTTAATCATAATCGAATCAGTGGTTTAGGAACGCCTAGAGGACAAACATACAAACATTCATTTTTGTTTATATATAAATATACAAATCTGTAAGCAAATTTCCTCTTGAATTATGAAGTCAACAAGTGCTTACGATTTGCTATCTGCCCTGCGTTGTCTTAATATGGAGCGTATATTCAAGTTTACAATGAGGTCGAGTTTGATAAGCATCTCAATGGACATTAGCCATGAGGAAGGATACCTTATATAAATTAACGATTGATTGTTTAAGTTGAATGTCTATATTTTAATAATTTAAAGTATGGAAAACCACAAATATATAACAACATAACATTGTACACAATAATAATTGTTAATTAACGTAATAAAAACCCTAAATTCAACTATAGATAAACTTTTCGCACAGCCTAATGGGTCTAGAAAATAGAAATATTAAATTTTGCACAATTTCCCTTAAAGGTTTTGTTGTATTGTACTAAAATATTAAGAAAAAAAATAGCATTTCTTATCGATTACTCTAAGATGGGTTTAAATCCCAAATCTATATGAATATGGAAGGAAAAAGAACCTAACAGTCCAAGAATTTATAATCTTATGCAATATCATGAGCATTTTAATTGTATGGTATTATTGCTATAATAAATTTCAAGGCGCTACAATTAAATTAACTTTTGAACTAAAATTTGAAAAAAATCTTGCCCTAAAAAATGTGTAAATTAATTGCCAATGTTGTAGTGTAAAAATTTTCGTTTAGATATTGCTAATAGTATTTTATATCACTTAATCCTTATTTAATGTTCTTGCACTTTTTCAGAGATCTGTGCTGCGCCGAATTTTAGTTTGAAATTAATTTTTTACTAAAAAAAAATCAATAAAATCAATCAATTCAATAAAATAAATTTAAATATAACTAAAAAACCTATTTCCTATATACTACGAGTATAAAACATCACGTACTTAGTATAAGTAGTGCTTTTCTTGTTAAAAACACATAAGTGGACATATAGACTGGAGACCATGCTTTTGTTATATAGATTTTTATAATATATATCTCTAATGTGCATGAGTGTTTCATTACACTATATAACACTAACAATATAAATGCCAAAGTAAGTAAGTGCGATTGTAATTTTTTGAAATTGTAACAACTCAACAGGTTTGTGTGAAATTTGCAACGAGATTAGGTCATATCCTAAATTTACGTGATATACCTATACTTTTAATATACCTATTAGTTACCACGCCAGTAAATCTAGAAGAGTAAAATCTACCTAATTATACTTGTGTCGCACATTGATGAACTCTTGACCTCCAACCTTTACAACTGATCCATTTAATCACCACTATACCAGATGGTTGATAAATCATTAGATAAGTAATAATAAAGTTAAAGGTTTAGATACCGGAAACATAAAAAATAGTAATCGCACCAAGGAAACGGAAGCTTATTGTTTTCTATCATTCCGCACCACTGGCTTACTTTAAAAAATATATTAAGACAAATGCTGATGTATAATGTAATAAACTAGCATCTCACCCTGGCTTTGTCCAGTATACAATGACCCTTTATTTCTTTTATCTCAATATTACTATTGAATAAATAAGTAAATTATTATGTTTGGACATTAACATACAGCGCCATCTAGTTCCATGGTAAGCTACGGGGCATGTGTTATGGATACCAGATAGTTGATACACTACACAAATATAGCTTTAAATACATACATATTATAAATATAAACACCCATGACTGGAGTACAAACATTCGTACTCATCGTACAAATGAATGCCCCCAGCGGGACTCAAACCCGCGACCGCTGACACAGCAAGTAGGATCTCTACAAACTGAGCCAAACGTATTGTCAAAAAACTATTATAAATGTGAAAGTTTGTATGTGTTTGTATGTTTGTAACTCCTTCGCGGGTGGACGGATGTTAGCTACACGGGTAAGCCTGGACTAACACTAAGGCTACAATTATTGATAAAATTTGCCGTGAACTGGCTACCTGCATATAATATAGCTGTTCATTAGGCTAAATTATAGATATAAAAGGCATCTAAAGACGCACCCGAACAAAGCCAGGGTAAGTCGATAGTAAGTATTATATACGCATAAACTATATATATTACCTATATAAAAGTACTACCGTTTAGAAATACATATACAAACATATTAATAATCAATTTTTTTCTGTCTGCCCGTGACCACGGCTGGTGCAACCCAGGCAAAACGTCGGAACAAAGTATATAGCCACTTACGAATGTCCCGCAGTGTAATTATTATATATTAACAATCAAAAAGCACGCGAATCAAATCCCAAATCCCAAACACGGTACAATCGGCAATACCATTAAAAATGAGATTTACAACACTAATATAAATTATAACATATTTTAAGTAAACTAGGCTGTCCATTTATGATCCATCGTCACGTCACGATGCTGTAACTATATTTGTAGGTCAGTCATTACGTGTAGTATCAATGCGGCATAGCAATACATATTGTGTAAGCCGCTTTCCATCGATATACTTGTAGAATAAAATTAATAAATATTATTCAATATATTCATATATAAAAGGAGTTATGGGTCATTTGTATAACAATATACACTTCTGGGCCTAGAAAATTTGGTGTACAAGAAATTAAAATAACTAGGGAAAAAATTGCATAAACAATGAGTTCATTTAAAATAAACGAATAGGGGTAATAAACGAATTATAATTTTTAAATAGCAATGTACCATTATGGGAGAATATTATTTAGTCTTTATGGAAGCCTGGGGAGGGCATACAACGTCATACATAGTGAGTCCTTTTAACCCCTTTCTTTAAATATGTGAAGACAACCGCGATTATAATCGAGTCGATAAAGAATTAGGTAATCTCTCGCGGTAAAAAGTAGCCTATGTCACTCTCCAGCCCTCCAACTATCTCCACTCAAAAAATCACGCTTATCAGTCACTCCGTTTTGACGTGAAAGAAGGACAGACAAACAAACAAACAAACACACTTTCACATTTATAATATGGATTTACTACTTATTTTAAAGTGATTTGAACACGTTTGAATATTTTTTGTTGAAGTAAGTTAGATGTTTAATTGAAAAATTGCTATGAAAGTGTATTCAATTCGATTCTTTTACTTCGTGGCTTCTAGGAGTGCCAGTTGGGCACAGTTATGTAGGTGAATGAAATTTTTTCATGTCATTTGAAATCGAAATCCATGAAATGAATGATGTTTCGAATAGGATAATTCAATGTAAAACTCTGGAATCGATTCACAGGTACGATAAAATTTATAAACATAAGTATTTGGTTTGCATTTATAGGCACGTTTAAATATATCAGAGCTAAAACAGTCCTTACTTTTTAATTACAAGCTTTACTTATAACTGTGCAATTAGATCTTGGTGTCTATTTTACCTTACTTTTTTCTCATATTCATTTGAAATGTTTTAAGTTTCATAACCCGTAAGCTGTAAGGCAGTGGTAGCCCAGTGAGTTACCACTCGCGCTAGCAGTAGCTAGCCCGCTAGCGCTAGCTTGGGAAACCGAGCGACGCGGGTTCAAATCCCGGATCTCGCACCTCTGTAATTTTCATGTGCGAATCATTCTCATCTAACATGGTTACCACTTGCCTTACAGTGAAGGAAAACATCGTGAGGAAACCTGCATGTCTCAGAAAATCTAACAAGTTTCGAAAGACATGTGAAGTCCGCCAACCCGCACTTGGCCAGCGTGGTGGTGCATGATCCCCCTCGTATTGAAGGGAGGCCCGTGCCCAGCAGTGGGACGTTAAAAAGCGCTGAACCCGTATGCCAGTACAATAATATTTTGATACTATCGATCTGATGATGTCTGAGTTAGGAGGTGCATAGTAAAACCTTTCTACGGCTACGACTGAAGTCTCTGATACTGTGGCTTAATAATTGATTTATTTTAACTTATCCCATACATAACCGTTAGTTTAAATTAATCTTACTAATAATTCTTAATAATAATATTAAAAAATGTGAAAGTTTTCATGTTTGGATGTTTGTTACTTAATGACGCCAGAACGGCTGAACGGATCTAGATGAAATTTGGCACAAACATAGATTATAGTATGGAACTGCACACAAGCTACTTTTTATTCCGGAAAAATGTACGGTTCCCGTGGGATAGATTTCTTTTTGTTTTTCCAGAGGTGAACCCGAACGAAGCGAGGATGAGCCGCTAGTAATAATAATACTTCATTCGTTTTGGCATTTTAGTTTTTTTATTATAAATTATTCTAAATGTAGTAAAATAAATGACAATAAACATAATATATATGAAATTTCTCGAAAGATTTTCCTATTCTACTAAAAATTAATTGGTTTTAATGATAAATTATAAATATGGCGGCTGAACCGTTCCAAATGGCATAGAATTACAAGCATTGTGTAGGTTCGTTTATAATTTTCCATGAAACCATTGTTATATGTAAGTGCGGTCAAATCAAAACATTTCCCTCGGCTGGTGACGATCACGTGTATTTCTTCACAAAAATAGCGTTTTAAGAACTTAGTAAAGATATTATTTGTTGGGATTGAGAGAAAATACTCTATAATGCTTGGGTAAGTCTTTATTTAACTTGCAATGTTTTAAATAAATTTTAAATAAAACTATCTTTTCGGATTTTTTCGCGAATTTATTTTGATTTTTGGTTCCCGACGTTTCGAATGCTTTACAACAATCATGGTTACGGGAGAGACTGAGGTGTTAGATGTCTCTAAGGTATTATATAGTTGTTACAGACAGCCTACCTACAAATAACAAAATGAATTCAAAAAATTTGACACATTTGCAATGTTTGTATGTATGTTTGTTCGGGTCAAATCTTACAGCAGTTATCCTCAACCGATTAAGCTGAAATTTTGTACATGTTTAGTTTGAATGAAAATGCATGGTCAGCTAAGTGACGTCATTCTAAATCCAACATGATGGTCTCCTAACGATGGTGGACTATTTTTTATGCACCCACATGATATGGATATCAAATAAAAGGGTTCGCTGAGAAGAATACGAATAAACACCTAAAAATTAAGAAAATAAACTTTAAATTAAATCAAACTCCTTTATTACACAATTTATATGATATAAAAGCTTGTTTTTAAATTTTTTATATTAATTTATTGTACAAACATCTAGTAAGTAGTAACATAAACTAGTCCTTGGCTGCGATTTTCACTATTTGTTCCCTTGAATATAATAAAAAAATTTAATCATTAGTTTAACTACAGATCAAGTATATGAGTCCTGATAAAGTCTGAGGACATGATAACGTTTGTTGTGTGTAATGAAAGAAATAAAAACCAACTTCTGTCAATATGTAAAATATTTATATAGAGATTTCATTTGCAGCAGATCTAATCGAATATTTTAGGAGTTTGTGTCAGGTGACCCGAAGACATTTACACATATGGATCAAGAAAGCTTTACATATTTATCAAGCCAATTTAAGTTAGTTACGCCAACTTTTTATTGATGACCAAAAATAAATTCTAGTAATGGCCTTTCAATATTTATGGAAAAAATAAATATTATTTATGAAATTATTACGAAAAGCTTATACATATATACTCAATTTTGACATCACTACATATTATAAATATCTGTCTGTCTGTCTTGTCAGTCTGAACGCGATAACCTCAAAACTACCGAACGGTTTTCATGAGGAAGTTTTAGGTACATAAATCATTAAGGTTTTTTGTAAGCTGGCTGAAATATAACAATGATTGTTGAAAATGAATATTTATAGAATTATTCCATTTAAAATGATCTTTCTATTAAACTGTAGCAACGCTATTCGAAAACGAAACGACTTTGAAAATATCTGATTAGGTATCTATTCTAAATGAAAATCCCCGTTTAATTATTTTTTACATTTTAGTGCCTGGAAGTCGGTTTTTTTTTAAGTTTTTACGTTAACCGTTTTTTTTTGTTTAGTAGTTATTGACGAGTTTTAGTGTTATTAATAAAATAATGATTATATTATACTCGAATTTTCTCCACCAGTAGTAGTATACAAATAAAGTATACACGTCGAACATAGTGCGCCTTTGTTTTTAAAGTCGGTCAAAAATAAAATTAAACTGTCACCTACCGGCTACTTACCGATGACCAAGCCAAAAGACGCTTTATGGCACTTGTAATGTCCGAGCTAATAGTTACACAGCTCGACTTTATTTGAAGAGATTTTCGCAAGAAAACAGATGAATTTTATGGTAAAATAGAATAAATTGGTTGTTATTAAGTATTTTTAATCATTTTATTAAAAAAACTAGCGACTCATTCGTCCCTAGCTTGCTTCCCAATACAAACTTTCATCCCCATTTCACACCCTTAAGGGATGATTTCCGTAATAAAAGGTATCTTATGTCCTTCCCAGGGTCTCAAACTATATTCTTACCAAATTTCATCTAAATAGGTTCAGTAGATCTAGAAATTACCCTCTACACCGTCACAAACTTTATCTCTTTATAATATTAGTATAGATGAAATCCTTTATTATTACTTAACATTTGTTATATTTGATTCCATTTACATTCAATTATATAAAAATATACGATCTTCTAAACAGTAGCACCTATGAAAGGAGAAATTATCACCTACTTAGAATACATTTCATTATTGTTAAGTCTTGCCTTGCCTTCATAGAAAAATTGACTTTCTACAATAGATATCGCTAATAGAAAACCTCAAACATATCTGATAAAGACATATTCTGGCTACGTGACAAATGCATGAAACTATGTCATTTCTATAAAAATTTTGTTTTGTTTTTATTTATTAGCGATAGCGTTTCTAGAATGTCACCTTGTTTAAGTCCCTGAAAATTCAAATAAGCCACTCAGACAAGTTGACGTTCCACAATCTACAATGACACATCTAGCGATAAATCACGTGATCAAAACATGCCATTCCCTAGATTTCTCATGTTTTTGACCGATTTAAAAAGGAGGAGGTAGGCAATTCGATTATATTGTAAGCATGTATTTATTTTTGTATGTGTTTTCATCCGAGATTTTTATAATAATTTCTATTTTAATTAATAGATGAAGAAAAAATGTTACTCTAAGAATGCAATAATTGGTCTTAGACGTAATAATACGTATTTAGCGTACATTTTAGACTCAAATTGAATTGTAATTACAATTGTTCTAAATTTTTTATACTTGATAACATGTTTTTATAAAAATTTCTTCATTTATAACTACATAGTTAATTTGTAGATCAAGGCTTCTCGCTAGTGATGGCGCCCAGGGTGACCGCCCGGATGATATCAAATTCTATATTCATTTCTGTTTTACATATCTACGGAAAAACCCTAGTATATAAACATGTAAAAATATTTGCTAAGACTATCGCCATGATTTTCATTAAATATAAAACCTTGTTGACAGTAACAGCCGCCGCCATTTATATTTCAAACAGCACACATTGAAATTTGTAAAAGTACTTATATAACGGACTGGTAGGTTAATAAAAATAAATAAAAATATCAGCAATATACATAATATGTAAGTAAGGTGTCCTAAAGTCACGATTCGGAGATATATATGTATGAAGCTAAATACATATAAGAACTAGACGTTAGTTGTTTTGAAATAATAGTGTCAATTGTAATTTAATGTTGCTACTTTGAAATAATGTTGAGATATCGAATGCCAGCTTCCCTATAAAGATGTTTGACTACAGTCCCATTAAAGTTATAATATATGCGTCAGTTTAAGAGTTGTATGTTATTTCACACGGCTGAACGAATTTGCATGAAACTTGGAATAAATATAGCTTATCTATACTAGTATTATAAAGAAGCAGAGTTTGTTTGTTTGTTTGTATGTTTATTTGTTTGTTTGTTTGTTCGTTCGTTTGAACACGTCAATCTTAGGAACTACTTATCCAATTAAAAAAATCTTTTTGCATTAGATAGCCCGTTTATTGAGCAAGGCTATAAGGCTATATATTATCATTCTACTACCCTAGGGAGCAGAGTAGTAATCATAAATGTGAACAAATCGAACCGACTTCCATACATTACTGTAAAACTGATGTTTATAATACATTTAAGTACTTTAAGCTCAGAAACTACTGTACTCATTTCAAAAATACCTTTTGCATAAAGACAAAGAGTTTTTTTTTTATAATTTTAGCGCGAACGAAACCGCGGATTCTGCTAGTTTCCTATAAATATCAGTTTTCATCGACATATCAAAGCCGCGAGCAAAAACTTGTTTATTGTTATTTTGACACAAATTCAATTATCTGTACACTTATGTTTTGCTCTTCTTATATGGACGCCATTATCACGTTTTATTTGCGTTTCACACGTCTAGTTTTATTATGAGATATGGTGTGTTTATTATAATGAGGTGTACTTGAATTTATATATTTCAATATTCATTCTATTCTGACAATTTCGAGAATCGAGACTGATAATGCTACAAGAAAATATTTGAGTTGTCGCTTAGTTAATTTTGCTGTATTAACTATCGAATCTATAGAATTGACACACAGACAAAAAGGCTTCATACTGAGGTCGAGATGACGCTTTGAATACGGAACTCTAAAAGAAGGTCAGACTAATTATGTCACATCAAACCGCATATAATATGCTGATTTATATAAAAAATATATATATAGTAAATTCCATCGTATAAACTTCATCAAATCAGATTTCTGAGATAAAAAGGACAACTTCTACAAGAGTTTCTGCTGTTACGAATCATTTCATAGTGAGTAATAAATTATTATACAAGTTTATATTGCATATAAATAAATAATATAGTTATTTCAAGACCAATGTTGAAAATTGTAATGCTGTCCGCTCCGAGGCTGGACACTTGACCTTTTGTGTACGTGCTGCGTTTCCACAATCACAACATACATATCATGACTTTTAGATCTATTAGAGCTGTTTATTGCTGCATTCGATTTGTTGCACGTTGGTTTTTACTTAGCGACAATCTAAGAGAATTTAGATTTCTTTTCAATGAACACTATTACTTTGAAATACAAGCATATCTATAACAACGGTAATAAAAACAAAAACATCACTTCTTTTAGCTAATAAAATAAAATATTTTTGTTAAAAGATCTCGTAAAAACAACGATGAGACTATTTAAAACTATTTCCGGTTTTTTCTCATTCATTTCCTCAATTCTTTTTTTCTGTTGTTATCAAAAGAAGATTTCATTGATCCGATTTATCATTATCCTAACATTGAAAAACAATTTTTTTAACCGTGAATCTCTTGACAGTGTTATTCAATTGCTATGAAGGACACAATAGTTGAGGCGTATTGTTCTGCCGCGGACAGAAAACGTTTAGTTGCCGCTTGAGAACGCCAGTCGACTCGCGGCGGTCAGGTTGACATTTTGTTGACACGATAAAGTTTTAAAATGTCATTGTCCAGTGAGAATTTTGAAAAAAATGAAAATTTGAATGGTGTAAGTGCTGCACTAGTGGATAAAAGCTTTCCGCCTATAAACCCTAAGTACCGTTCCAAGAGTTTGTCTACAGATAAGTTAAACACAAATAATGCAGATCGTGCCGCGATTTTAGAGGATATAGAGGCTCAGTACATAACTGACAAATTAGAAACGCCTAGTTGTTTGGTTAGAAATAAAGTAATGGAATCTCATTCAACGCTCAATGGGTGAGTCGATTTTGTTTTTAATTTATATTTTTAAACTATAGTTTTAGTGATGTTGAAAAGTATGATTCAAATGATTGCCATAAACGTGTTTGGTGTTATTTTGTATATTTTATGTAAACATGACAAAAATCTTCATAGCGTGACGCACGTGTAAATATAAATAGTTTAATAGTGTAACAATTTTAGTATTCCAAATTTTGAACCGTTTCTTTTACTAGGATTTTAGGTTATTCTAAGAAAAATAATAATTTTGTATATTATCTTATTTCTTCTTTGTAGATTTTAATATTTTCTCTTTTTTAAATGGGACTAGTGACGCGTTCATTATTAAGTTTTTTCAAATAAACTAACCACCGCAATACATAATTAAATAACAGTAAGAATGACACGAATTTATTGATTTTGAACTTATAATATATATTTGTGAATTTAAATAAAACCGCTTTTCAAATAAGACGCCAATCTAACGCTAGACGCACAAAAACCTGTTGAGCTAATTTTGGTTTACGGCTTGATAATAACGTACAAAAAAAAACTTTTTTGGAAGCCAAATAGCTTTAGCTAATGAGCTTTAGCTTCAAATGCCCAGATTTTTATTATTTATTTTTATTATTAACATTTAGTAGATTTCTCAGAGATGTGATATTTTCCCGCAGTAAAAAGTATCCTATATGTTGACCCGGATAACCAGCTATCATCATACCAAATTTCATCAAAATCGGTTCAATAGTTTCCTCGTAATGCGTTCCCAAACAGACAAAAATTCTAAAAATTATAGATTTCGCCTCTGTAGCGTTAATAAAGATTATTTCAATAAGATTTTCCAAAAAATATTTAATGTACAGATTCGAAGAAATGGATAGAAAAATCAAGGGTTTAACTGAAGTAGGAAAATTTGGAGATTTTGCCTGTTTTATTATTTTTACCCGACTGTACCTGAAAGATAATAACACGTTTAGGCCGTTTTTGTGTATTTTTTTGATAGCTTTAGTAGGCGTTGCGTTGCTCAGATCAAAGTAGTCATATAGGCCTTGTACCATGCGGGTAGCTCGTAGTACTTCTAACAGAGTGGACCGTGGGAGCAACCCTGTGGTTGTTGTGCCCATTAAGACGGAGGAAGTTCAATTAGGTTTTAGTATGTAGTACTGGATTATCTAGCTTGCGAGTCACACATAACCATACAACAATTACCAACATTAAAAAAGTCATAGTCTATCCATCTGTGCACGAAAATTCATCCGAATCTGTCCAGCCGTTTCAACGTGACGAACAAACGCGCACACACATACAAACTTTCGCATTAAAATAATTAGTAATTTAATGTTTAAATTAATGATGAATAATTATTGTAGCTGCGAGTAAATAATAATTTTAATGTATTCAACATCAACAAAAACCCTATATTAGTATATACCTATACTTATAAAGTACCTACCTACACATATAGTAACACTAGCGGCTCAATCTTGCTTTACTCGGCTTCGCATTTAGAAAAACAGAAACATATCTATCCCACGGGAACTATACATTTTTACGGGATAAAAAGTGCTATTCCAGAGTATAATATATCTCTGTAATAAATTTCATCCAAATCAGTTCAGCCGTTCTGGCGTAATTTAGTAACAAACATCCATAAAAAAATAAAAATTCTAGACTTTCCCATTTATAATATTAGTAAGATTAATAAGAAGTAAGTTATGTACGTCATCATTAACATAAATTATAACGACGATAATAATCAAGTGAACCAATTTCAGAATAGGTTAAATGGCTATCTAAAGTGGCAATAAAATGGAGTCATCATGCTTACCTATGTATGTATTGTTATTCTCATATCTATACATATAACAAAACTAGCGACTCACCCTCGCTCCGCTCGGGTTCGTCCCTGGGGTGGGGTCTGGGAGGACCACCCTTATCCTTATCACTTAGGGGTATGGAAAATAGATAGTAGCCGATTCTCAGACCTACTCAGAATACGCATATAAAATTTGGTAAAAATCGGTAAAGCCGTTTCAGAGGAGTACGGTAACAAACATTGTGACATGGAAATTTTATATATAAGATTGTAACTAAGCCGAATCTGAACATTAAAAATTTTTTCGAAAATCTTATTGAAATAAACATTATTTTGGTAAGGATCGGAAAACCTCTCTCATGACTGGTAATATAGACGTGGAAGCCCTTAATAGGCATTGACCCTAAGCCTAAATCTTCGCTCTTTAATTTTTCACCTATCTCTCCTAAGGATGTTAAGATGCATATAATGGCTATAAAATCTAACGCCATTGGTAGCGATGGAGTGAGCCGTAAGATGATTCTCTTAGCTCTCAATCACATTCTTACAGTTCTCTGCCACATCTTTAATCATTCTCTCTCTTCAAATACCTTTCCAAGATGCTGGCGTTCAGCTCATGTTATTCCCATTCCAAAAACTTCCAATCCCTCATCGTTTTGTCACTATAGACCAATTTCAATACTTCCTTTTCTTTCTAAGGTGCTTGAACGTGTAGTCCACAGCCAACTATCATTACACCTTTCAACGTATAATTTGCTCAGCCCCTACCAATCCGGATTTCGACCTGGACATAGCACGACCACTGCTCTGATTAAAATCTGCGATGATATAAGGAACGGGATTGACAATAAGCAAGTTACCATAATTGCGTTATTAGACTTCTCAAATGCTTTTAACACTGTAGACTTTGACATTCTCCTAGCAATCCTACAGACAATGAATATATCGTCGAATGCTGTTGACTGGTTCCGCTCCTATCTCTATGATCGCAAGCAATGCATTCGTGTCGAGGACAAGCACTCATCCTTCTGTTACCTGAAAGCGGGTGTCCCTCAAGGCGGTGTCCTATCTCCTCTCCTTTTTTCTATCTTCATCAACTCCATAACTAAGCTTCTATCATTGCCTTTTCACCTTTATGCTGATGACCTGCAAATCTATGTAACAACACCCATAGACAGTCTTCAGGATGCCATAGCCAAACTCAATTCTAATCTCAATACTGTAAGTACGTGGAGTAAATCGTTTGGGTTATTTGTAAACCCAAGTAAGTCGCAGGTATCCCTATTTGGTTCTCGTCAGCTAGTATCCAAAATTAATATATCATCCCTTTCACCTATTTTATTCGACGGCACTATACTGCAAATTCGCAGCTCTGTTAAAAATCTAGGCCTTATAATGGATAATTCCTTATCATGGGCGCCCCAGATTTCTGAAGTAAGTAGGAGGTTCTTCGCTGTAATTAGTCGTTTGAGGAGGTGGAAAAATTTTTTACCAATAAAAACCAAAGTATCTCTAGCACAAACCCTTCTCCTTCCCTTACTTGATTATGCCGATACATGCTATCCTGACTTGTCGCAGATTCACCTCAATAAATTGGAACGTCTACAAAATATGGCAATCCGATTTGTTTACGGTTTGAGAAAATTTGACCACATCTCTCAATATCGAGCTCAACTCAAATGGCTCACCGTCAAGCAGCGTCGTAACTTGCATATCCTCACTCTCCTATACACCATCCTTTTTCACTCCCACACTCCTCCTTACCTTAAAACAAGGTTTAGTTTCCTTGGTTCTGGCCATTCCCTAAACCTTCGATCGCAAGCTGACAGTAAATTAGCATTGCCCGTCAGTCGCACCCAAAGCTATGGTGACTCATATACAGTCAAAGCCGCAATATTATGGAATGCTATACCACATAATATTCGCCAGTTAAAATCAGTGCAAGTTTTTAAACGTCGTCTTAAAGACTATTATTTATCCCTGTAAGTCTATGTATATTTATGTACATCCTGTTTATGTAAGTTTATTGTGGAATATATACGTATATTGTCTAAACTTATATATTATGTAATATATATTTATGTATCTCTTTATTGTTATTTATGTAAACTTATGTGTAATTTATAGTATGTACCGTATAAGTAAGTATGTTATATTGATTTTTTTTTTGCGCCAACCCCTATCCATTCTACCTTAAGAGTTCCTTTATAGGTTTATGGGTTGCCTGGAAGAGATCACTTTAGTGATAAGGCCGCCTTTACACTGTTTTTTTTTTTTATATAATATGTGTTTTAAAATTGTACTTCTTTTCTGGTGTAATAAAGTATTAAATAAAAATAAAAATTATTAGCGATACAGAGGCCGAATCTATGGGTTTTACAATTTTTGTGTCTGTCTGTCTGTCTGTTACCGCAACCCAGAGAAACCACTGGAGGGATTTTGATGCAATTTGGTATGGCGATAGCTGGTTATCCGCGTCAACATATAGGATACTTTTTACCGCGAAAAAATATCTCATTTCTGAGAAACAATACAAAAACTGCAATGTAAGAGTATACTAATATGTAAAACCTAAGAACTTGGTTTTTGGTCGTCTAAACGCGGACGGAGCCTCGGGCAATGCTAGTTTTAAATATAACAACGATAATTTACAATATATCAATACAATAATTATGTTCTTATCCTGCGTTAGTATCAACTAATAGTAGTCCCATACATTTGCAGCAGCAAAGTATTCCGGGACAGAATATTTTACTTTGTCTGTAATAATAGTGTGGTACACATCTTCACTGATATGACAGTCATCTGTCGCATTGCTTTAGCTCTGCCGGAGGTCACGTACATCTTCCACTTGCAGAAAATATTTAAATTGATAATAATGTGAAACAACGACTTAAAACAAGTAATTTGTTGACGCATTGATAGTGGCAGAAGATCAGCGCTTTGTCTTTTAATTATTTTTGTATACTACTCACACTCGTTTCGCTCAAATCTTACCTTGCTTCTTCCAGCATCAAGCTCCCCTTTAAACATGGTTTTTAAAAAAACCTTTAATTTTCTTAGTACAATCTTACTAAATATTTATTTTTCCCTTTTTAGTGTAGACAGTAGTGGCAAAGTAAGAATTCTGACGTGTTAGGCTTGTCAAATCAAACAAAACAAGCCCAAAAGCAAAATATCTACTATTAGCCGTTGAAGAGTT